TTTGTTTCTGGACAACGTCCATGTCAAAATATGGCAATCATCGCGTTAAAGTTCAAATGCTCCAACCTACAAACTGTATTTTTCAACGTTCATACACACGTCGTGTGACACTTCGCTAAAAATTTAGTGATACCTTAATACGTATCTCTTAAAAACTAATATGAAACTATGCTTTCTTCTTCTAGATGATCGCTTACTGAACTAGAAGAAGCTAATTTAGCTCAATTCCACCACATGAACGGTACAAATATGGCGCTTTAATTAGCAGTATGTAGCCCGAGCTAGTCCCAGGTTCCGGTCGCTTTCAGCGACAAGTTTAGTCACCAGTACTTTGAATTGTTTAGCTTGCTTTTGTGTATCAGAAAATTTCGTTGCGCTCTGGAAAAGATTGTCGTGTTTCAAAAGATTTTGTTGTTTTATGGAAAAGATTGTTGTGTTTTAGAAGATTTCGTTTAGTTCTGAAAAACATTGTTGTGTTTCATTGGAGAAACTGAGTTATGTTTTTGCCCCAATAGGCAACCGTACTGAAGAGGAGAGATCAGCTTAGAGATCAGCTTAAGCAATCGATCATAAGTAGATAAATACAGATATTCCAAACCATCATTTTAACGATCAATTTTTATCCAACTGAAATTCCAAACCTTCAGACAACCTGATAGCGATGATGAACAGTTAATGTAAACGACTGAAACGATCTTCTAACCCTACCCACTAGACAGCAGTCCTGTTTCTTTTTTATCAAGACCTCAAGATCTGACAACTTGCCCATTATTCTTTTGCAAAAAGACCACTGCACAAAAATTCCATAGCTGCCGTGTAACTGTCTTGAGTACCCCTGATTTCGGTGACTCTCGACGATAACTGAGGAATATTGCAAACCCCATCCCATCAACCCTTGAAACGCCTCTAACATTCTTTACAATTTCTCCTTACATGACTGCATACTCCATCCTTATGCTTTGTTGAGAGAATTTCTACCTTCATCAGACCAGTCTTAATAGGCTGTTTTTATGGATTTGCTGTGACCAACAGCAGCCAACAGTGGCTGAGGTGTGAAAGGGTACAAGCCTGACCACCAGTCCTGTAATCCAGGCTGTCAAACAAGATGAATAAGACGAGTTCCTTCCAGCCTCATAGAAGACTGCCAGTAAGACAAGGGGTCCAATAACATACCCTTCCCACTCCTTGAGCTTTCTACAGAGAGCCATTTGCAACCCACCCTTGGATAAGTTAGTGGCTAACCTGCATGCGGGCACTACCCTTGACGTTAAGCCCTCTGCATTTTTATCGGCAAGTCTGGCTTGATGGCGGGTGATACTCCTAACCTTAGCCATCAGGGTTTTGCGACCTCTCCTAAGCCTACTTCTTTCGACTTTCAACCACCCTCCAACTACAGGGTATCCCTCAAAGAAAGGAGAGAGTTAAAATAAGCCTGCTTACTCGCCTAGAAATGCCATATTTTGTACCTAACTTTATCATACTATCTTGAATGGGGAGTTTTTCTGTACTAATCTTTGCCCCACCGAATTTTGAAAATGTTACTGGAATTGCTATACATACTTCATTTGAAGAAATGACATTATCATATTCTCTGTTGCAGGTCAGTTCCTGATACGTTTTTTTTGACTGAACGAGTTTTGAAAAATGTCTTCGGAATACGTCGAGATTAAATATATCAGTTATACCACGGTTATATAAACTCTTGTTTTATCTTTTTTCACAATGGGTCGACCCGGGTCATCTTTCAATCGGCGCTCTTAATCCC